AAAAAAAAAGACTCCAACTTTGAAAGACAAACTGCCACTTCTAAAATGTACACTTTAACAGTAAATGCGATTTCTCAAGAAATAATTATCACAAATGTCGAAGTGTTTTCAAACTATAGAGGACTTCAGTTACGAGAATTGGTTTACTAATATTAATATCCTGTATACCAAGTTAAGTTTACTCCGATGCATTACTGCAATCTGTGGAATACTTCAGCAAGACACTTATTACTCACTATAATTAAAACTGAGTGAAACATGCTAATGAAAAAAGCAAACTTTGAAAGCATTAAATTTTTAAGCATTAAGATTAAAGACCAAATTGAAAATTTCCCTAATCTAATAACATACACAGAAACTGACTGGTTGAACAACATTCTTTAATTTCCGAAAACAAAAAAATTTCTTTTTTTTGGACAATCTCAAATGCGCTTGAAATGGCTGCAAAACATTCTGATTCATTTCGTTTTTGATTTTAGTTTCGCAATTCTTTCACCGCAAAGTTAACCAAAGTCTGAGGTATGAGGAAAACTTGCAAAACAAAAAAAAAAAAAAGCAAACTCACAAATCACTTTCAAACAAATTGATTTACATCAAAAAAAAAAAAAAAAAAAGCAAGTATTTTTATGAGCTTTCATTTACCCGGATGCCTCTCATTAGTTCTCCTTTCCAACAAACACAATCACTTGTTTAATAGCATTAGTTCTTCTTCTTTTGTTTTTTTTTCTTCCGCCTTCTCTTTCTTTCTCTTTTCTTCATCTTTCCCCCCCCCCCCGCGCAGTTTGCAACCTTCATCAAGCGTTCTAAAAGCGAGAAATCAGTTTTGAAGCTTGAACGATCAAAAAAAAATTTGTTTTGACGAGGAACGACGACAGCGACAAAAAACGACATCGTTTTTAGGGAAGCAACAGCAACAGCACCACCACCGCCGCGGGTGTGAACGTTGATATCCGGTTTGGAAATAATAATTCACAACATTATTTGAGCGATGCGCGTTCACTGAGGTCCAATAAACGTTTCCCAAAAATGTCATTGCGATTCAACCAAAAACACCTGATGAGAACAAAACGGCATGACTAACATCAGCAAAACACTTTAAACTAACAATCTTCAAATTTCCGTTTTTCTGACAAAATGTATTCTAAAAAATAAAAGGGATTATTATTATTATTTATTTATTTATTTTTTTTTTTTTTGAAGACCTCATGAACAATAAATACACAAATCGAAATTTCCTAACTTCATCACTGCTGAATGTAAACAGCGCAATTTTTTTCGATATGACGGAAAAAACAAAAAAAGACATAAAAATAGATGCATTAATTGAAGGACAATTCGAAAGCTCCTAACCTACAATAAAAAAAAAAAAAAAAAGCGATAACTTGGAATAAAACTTTCCAAGTGATTAAAAACTTTTAAGAGGAACCAGTTAAGCAAACAATACAGTTGAAATAGCAGATGTAAGTAAAACTTTGTTGAAATCGGTAAGATATGAAGAAAACCGTAGCAAAAGTTTTTGTTTAGTTGTTCCCACAGTAAAGCGAAAAAACCCGATATCTCAGCTTCAGATTTCTCAAAACGACAAATTCCAAAAATGTCTTTTTCTATTCCCTTTTCAAATGTATCTTCCATTCTAATCCGTCAAATAAAAAAGAAAAAAAAAAGACTACCTCAAAAATTACATATCTGAACAAATCTGGTTTCATGCGCAAAAAGAACTTGATAATTGGGAAAGAAAACAAAGCCTTTGTAACTGCAGGAGTATAAGCGGAAACGAATCTTAACTTCAATAAAGCTAAAAGTTAATTTAAAAAAATTACGAATATAGCGGTTTCAGAGAAAGCCAAAATTACCAGAACTCAAAAGAAATACAGCTATTCATCGAGAATGGAAACCTCAAACAGCTCATCTATTTGTATCTGACAACAATTTAGTGGCGATATACATAACAGTTAAGATTGTTTAACAAACGAAACCCAGGGCAGGAAAGCGCAATAATAATAATTTTTAAAATAATCTAAAACAACGAACAAACTCTTTCCCCAATATACTCTATAAAATTAAAAGTTTTAACCAGTTTTTTTCAGCAATTTTTCGTAAAAAATTTTAGAAAGTGCAGAAATGTGAAAAAAACTTAACATTCTCAGGCGGCAATAATATCCAACAACAGCATTTTAAAAAATGCAGTCACTTTTGAAAAGAAATTTGCGAGTTTTAATAATTTCAACCAAATCTACGTATAGAAAATTAAAAGCGTAACAAATCAAAATAAACTAGATGCTGGGAAGGCGGACAGAGGTAGTAGCCATGAATCAAAATATCCATATAGATTTCAACTTGTTTTCAAAAAGCAAAAACATGCTACCATATTCAAGCAAAGAAATTTCAATTCAAAACAGTGATAATATAAACAGTCAAAAGAAAGCACAAAATAAAAAACCTCTGAATCCGCTAAAAAATAACTATAAAAGCAAAGATTTCTGACAGAATTCCAGCAAATGCTGTTCAAAAAAATTTTTTCTAATGAAACTTTTAACCAAAAATGTTCAGTTCCTGAAAATACTGTTATTGTATGACAAACGACACAATATTTCACAGATGAGTACAGGACATTAAGACCTATATGTTTTGGAAATTATTCCTTTGCAACAAAAAAAAAGAATTTAAACTATAAAAAGCAGCAAATTAAATAAAAACTAAGTCAGATTAAAGACATCGAATAGATAATTTTAACAAGCTGTGCAAGAATTAAGAAATACACCCTAACACATTATAATGACCCGTTTTTCAGACAAAGTTCTTTACTTGGTCAATTTAAAAAACTGTGTGACGCTTCCAATGATACAAGAAGAATGACCGCCATAAATTGAACAAATTCAAGCTTTCAATTTTTGCTAACACTTTTGAAAAGTCTAACCGATCATATACATACAGATGTTCTGGCAACAGATAAAGATCTAAAAAATCCCTAAAGTAAAACGACCAAAGCAAAAACATGCTGAATGAAATCCATTTAAGTATTCAAAATGCCATTTTATGAGGATCAAGCTGGAAATATCAAGAACCCTTACTCAACTTTACCACAGAAGTATCTCAAAATGCTTTTACGATGATAAAAGATATACGAATCTTATGCGAACAAATTTCCGCTAATGAGAGAAACTCATCACCATTGAAAGTCTTAAAAATTACTCCTGAAATTGAGCGCTGCTATTTTAAAAATGTACAAACAAAAAATTTTCCAAATATCCCATCGCCTAACAAAATTACAAACCTCTCTGGTAAACTACAATAAGCAAATGAAACGGCAGATGATAAAAAAGCCTTCTATCCAAGAGCACAAAATTTTTCAGAAAACTTCACCATGATTATGGAAGAGAATTGCAAGCTTTTATATATTTGAAAGATCCTTCTAATTAACCATTTACAAGCCAGAGTAAAATGCAAAGTAAAAAAAGTAAAACTTCTCGTAGTTTATGTTAAAAGAAGTACGCAAAATTTATAAAAAAATTTTTTTAAATTCATTAAACTCGATAATAAATAATT